ATATAAAACAGGAGGTTAAATTCTAATTTTTTAATTTAATTGGTGCATTTAAGTGTATTTATTTAGTGGTTCATATAATTCTGTTTTTATTTCTAATCATGTCAGTTTTGGTCCTCCGTACTGCAAAAGCCTGATAATCAGTCGTATCAGGTGTGTTGGTGCAGAGAAACAAGTAAAACCTGCAGGGCTGCGGCCCCCCAGGACCTGGACTGACCACGCCTGGTCCACATTAAAACAGGGGTTCACAAACACGTCATGGCCCACAAAAGCTTCTGGCCGTGGACCACTTTGAAAACCCACAAACAATGCTATAAAGTATGTAAAGAAATATGAACTTTTAGAATGTTAATCTAAATAATAAGTCTAAATGAAAGTTTAATGATAAATAAATCTGAATTTGCTCTTGCCCTCAGTAAAAACATGTTTCAGTTTTGGTGACCCCGACGGGATTGTTTGGTCTTGAACCATTTGATTTGTATTTTTGACAGCTGTTGAAGAAGCTGAGAGTGCTCTGAGAGTCAACCGCAGAGACCGAGGAGGACAGCCAAACTTTCGAGGTGCTTCCTTTTTCTTCCAAAGAGGATTTCAGTCAGCATCTCCAGAAGGTGGTGTTGAAAATTAGGATTCACCGTCTGGAAGAGATGAGTGCTTTAAATGAGACACTTGCAGAAAACACTGAGAAGATGTGTGGAAGACAACAGGACTGGATGGAGATGGTTCAACAGAGAACCCACGCAGACGAGGAACCAGCAGCAGTTGTTATCAAAACGGATAACAGTGAGTCAGCAGTGAATACAGGCATTCTGCAGAATAGATTCACACCACTGGAAGACATTTGTGAGTAAGAGGAAAGTTTAATTTTTGACCCCAGTTAGAGAGCTGATCAGATTCAGATCAAACCTGAAACAAGTTTGGACAGAGCCTGCCATGAACCAAGAAATGCTGGTTTTAGCTATAAAGCTGTGAGTGAGATCAAATTGTTTTCGAACAAGAAAAAAAATACAAGGTTGTTAGCTTTGCTGATAACCASGGGCAGAGCCAGGGGGTGGCCAAGGGCGGCCATGGCCACCACAGACAAATCTTTGGCCACCCCATTGGCCACCCTGCTGGACACACCCCTTCCACAGTGAAACAACCTTTAGGGGTGTAATAATCCTCCTGAACAGTTGGTRGCAGTGTTTAACAGTTTGAAACATCACCAAACTCAAAGAAGTAACAAAGAAGTGATGGTTTTCTTTATATATAGAACATATGCCTATGTAATCCGACTTATGGTGACAAATGTATTTATTAAAATATTTTTTGTTACCATAACACAGTGTCATTTTATGTTCTGAAGGCTGCATGATGTCCCTTTTGGTTCTGAATAGACCTATCATTAAATCAGAAAAAGAGAATTGCCCCTTTAAATTCACTGTTGGTGGTTATCAGTATTGCACCTGTTCATTGGGTAAAATTATTAATACTAGTTTTAAACATGCAGTTGAAGGTCATAATTATTTGGCACAATGATGTGTTAAAATTAAAAATAAATCAATAAACAATATAAAAGTAAAAAGCACCCTTAAAATCATTGGATATGATAAATTGTGTCACATTAATTAACCTTATCTCAGCTGTAGCAGTGAGTTTAAAAACAGGATGATGAAACTAGTTTAATGAATAATCTGTCTCTGAAATAATTATTAAATCAAGTGTTTATTTATGTAGGTAAAAGTATGTTAAACAACCTGGTAAAATACACCAGAATGCAGGGAAAGGGCATCTATTTTGTTCAAAATTTTTCTGGGGGAGGACCCCCAGACCCCCCAACAGTGTGTCCCCCACTTTTAAAATGGTTCTGATGCCCATGTTTGTAAGGTAGTCACAGCCTGTGTAAGGACATAAGGAAATGATCAAAACACAAAGACAACTTTTAAGTAAAAAATTATGTAATTTTCCTGGCCACCCCTGTGTGAGTAGTGGTCCACGTCTGGCCACCCCTGGGAAAAATGTCTGGCTCCGCCACTGCTGATAACATGTCTGATATCACAGAGAAGATGGTGGAAATCACAGCTGAATTCAGACCCATGAAAAAGGATTTCCTTCAGTTGCTGAATGCAATTCAGAGCCTTGAGATGGAGGTATCAGTGGTCCCGTCCCCACAGCCAGAGGATAAGAAGTTTAGTTGGCTGTTGATTCGTAACAGATAGCTCAAAAAAGTCTGTTGAGAGAACTCTGTGGTCTTTATCAACAATTTCAACTTATTCTAGGAGCCAAAACATCTGTTAAAGGCAGACGGACTGACTTGGAATCATTGTGAAGTTGAACTGCTGGCTTCAAACATGRTCTGTTGCTTAAACCAGATGAGGCAAGCTCCTGTTAAAAACAGACAACAGGAGAGGAATCAACTTACGTCTCTGATGAGGTCACAGAAATAACTAGAATCTGACAAAAGTAATAAAAATTATGTGAAAATGAACAAATCAGACATTGCTTTTCATACTGTATGCCTCAGCAGATTTTAAAAAAATAAAATAAAACTCAAGAAACAGGCCTGGACAGAAATGATGGTACCCCTGAAAATAATGTGACCAAAGGGACATGTTAAAGGTAAAGGTTATAAGCATGTTAAAGTTAAAGGTTATAAGCATGTTAAAGTTAAGCATGTTAAAGGTAAAGGTTATAAGCATGTTAAAGGTAAAGGTTATAAGCATGTTAAAGGTAAGATCATCTCCAAGCAGCTTGATGTTCCTGTGACTAAAGCTGCTCATATTCAAAAATTTAAGATCCATGGGACTGTAGCCAACCTCCCTGGACGTGGCCGCAGGAGGAAAATTGGTGACAAATCAAATCAAAGCGATAGACAATATGAATGGTAACAGAAGAACCCAGAAAAACTTCTAGTGAAAGATGAACTTCAAGCTCAAGGATCAGTGTCAGATCAAACCATTCGTCATTGTTTGAGCCAAGCTGGACTTAATGGGAGATGTCTAAGGAGGACACCAAGTCATAAAAAGCCTAACTATATGTTGACAAGCTACAAAGCTTCTGGGAGAATGTCCTCTGGACAGATGAGACAAAAATGGAACTTTTTGGCAAAACACATCAGCTCTATGTTCAAAAAATGAATCATGAAGAAAAGACCACCGTCTCTACTGTGAAACATGGAGGAGGTCTGTTTTGTTCTGGAGCTGCTTTGCTGCATCTGTGCAGTGTGCAATGAAATCTCAAGACTATCAAGGACTCTAGACAGAAATGTGCTGCTCAGTGTCAGAAATATTGGTCTCAGCAGCACATGGGTCTTCAACAGGATAATGAGCCAAAACAGCTAAAAACACCACGAATGGCTCAGAGGAAAACACTGGACTATTGTGAAGACCTTCTATGATCCTGACCTGAATCCTGTTGAGCATCTTTGGAAGGAGCTGAAACATCAAACCTGAGACATCTGGAGCAGTTTGTTCATGAGGAGTGGAACAAATACCTGCTGAGAGGAGCAGAAGTCCCACTGACGGTCACAGGAATCACTTGACTGACTCAAAGGTTGTGCAACTAAATATTAAGTTAAGGGTCCCATCATATCTGCCCAGGCCTGATTCATGAGATTTATTTTAAAAAAATGTGTTGCAGCATGTCTGAAAAGATATGTCTGACTTTCATTTGTTCATTTTTATAGAATTTTTATTTWTTATTACTATTTCTGTGACCACTGTAGGCTTTTCTTTTATTCAAAAGGGATACCAACAATTTTGTCCACATGTAGCATAAAAGAAAACGACTTTGGTAAAAATGAATTTATCGATAAGAAAAGTCATAAAAACTCATAAAACTGTCCACAATAGTCAGGAAAGTAAAAATAAAAGTATTTTACACACACGCTAAGAAATGAAGGGTAACCAGACTTGTTCCTCTAAACCGAGCTGAGTAAAGTGTTTTATATTTACTCAGCTCGGCTTAGTGGAACCAGTTCACAAAACATGGTTAAGTCACTTTAACATTTAGTTTTTTAGTCTGCATAAACCACTCCTTTGATGATGAGTTTGGTCGTATTTAAATTTGTAAGTATGTGTTAAATGTTAAGGTAAAGAAGTAAAATATAATTTTTAGGTTTTTTTATGTAACAAAATATTTAAGAAAATACTTGGTAAAATTGCAATTCCTCAAAGACATTACTTAAGTACTGCAGCAAAGTAAATAGTTACTGTACACTTCTGGCACACACACACACACACACACACACACACACACACA